TGTGTGTGTGTGTGTGTGTGTGCGCGCGCGGAGATAGGGGAACGGGAGTGCAGCAGGATAGCGGCCGAGTTTGCCACGAACACCGGAGGCCTCTGGGAAAGCAGAACCATAGCAACTGAATGAATTAATCAACAGGGCCCAAGAGCGACGTTGAACACAAGCAACAAGCGCGCGCGCACACGCACACACGTGCTATGACAGCTGGTGGGTTCATATGCAACATACTGCTAACCTGGTGATGCGGCTTTGGCTTCAACTGCCTTTCCGGTGACAAAACATAGCACACTTGAGTACAATTCGAATTCTCGCTTTCACTCAAACTTGCGGTGGGGAAACCCTGATGCTGTTTTGGTTGTGTATGTACAGTATGTGAAGACACTTTAGTTTTGGTGAGTTCTAGTAGTCACTGATTTTGAACCACTTTTTAGGATAAATGGCCTCTAGATACTGATGGGGCTTGATGAGCATTTGGACATGAAGGAAAAAGTTCACTCGTCAGTATACAATAAAAATAAAAATCAATGTGTCCATGGTGGCTCTGTGTATAAAACCAGTGAGATTCTGAGGATAGTCTGCAGTGCCCCCCTCAGGAGGTAAAAGTACAAACACTGAGGAATACTGTACTTTACATTAAGTCGTGGGCAGCCCGTTGGTCGACTGGTTAGCGCATCGACCTCACAATGCAGAGGTCGTGGGTTCGGCCTCCCTGTGTGGAGTTTGCATGTTCTCCCTGGGCCTGCGTGGGTTTTCTCCGGGTACTCCGGTTTCCCCCCCACATTCCAAAAAAATGTGGGGGCCAGCCTGATTGAACACTCTAAATTGTCCCTCGGTGTGAGTGTGAGTGCGGATGGTTGTTCGTCTGTGTGTGCGCTGTGATTGGCTGGCAACCAGTTCAGGGTGTCCTCCGCCTACTGCCTGAAGACGGCTGGGATAGGCTCCAGCGCCCCCCGCCTTGTGAGGATAAGCGGATCGGAAAATGGATGGATGGATGGACATAAAGTTATTATAAAATTAGAAACTAAGAAATGTGTTTGCTAAACTGGCTCAAACTATGAATAGTTGTCTTTTTTGGGGTGAGGGGTGGACTTTTATGGTATTATCTGAAAAGCCAAATAGAACTCCTCAGTTCAAATGATCTTTTTGTTTGGGGTTTAACTACATGAATAACCTACTTCTGTATTAACGATTGCTAATAGAGAACAAGGGTTTGGACGATATTTTTTTTTTCAACTTCTTCCTACTCCTTTTGAACATAAAAGCTGCACTGAACTACGATATGCATTGATCATTTTATCCTTTGAATTTGTTTTTATGTGATCAATCAAAATAAACAGGCAACATTCTGTTGGATTGTGACCGTGAGGGACACAGCACTAGTCTTTGGAATAGGCATTTATTAACATTCATTGACTTTAAGTGTTTTTTTCCTTCCTTGTTTGTTACATTTAACATTTTCTGCGGCTATCATGAAGCTACACTGACAGTTTGGAATCCCAAGAATTATGCCTTTAAGCAAAACCTCACAGTAGAGGAGCTTGAGCACAACTTCAGTTGTCACTCTTGCTGAATCGCATTCAACTTGGAACACAAACAAATTAGTCAAAAAAGAAAAACAAACACACTTTGTTATTGTTCCTTTTTAATTGTACAGTAAAAATAACATTTTGTACATATTTCATGCGTGTTGACATAGATCAAAACTCCCCCCCCATTTCATGTTGTATGATGACTTTGAATTTGACAAATTACAGCAAATAAACTGGTGACTTGTTGAGAAAATGTAAAAAAAAAAAAAAATTCCAATCAACTAGAATTTTTTTTTTTTTTTTTTTTTTACATTTTAGACTTCTTCCTATCCGTATTGAAAATCATGTTGCGTACATTGGTTTTTTTTTCAGGATTTCATGTATTTTCTTTTACATATTATGGAATTCAAGATTTCATGTATTTTCTTTTAGATATTATGGAATCTAGTGCTCCCTTGTTTTTTTTTTAATTTTTTTTAAATCAACATAAGTTTAGTTCAGTAAACCTATCCCCAGCCCATAAAAATGCTGCTCACCGAAAAAAAGTGATTAAGCCATTTTGGGTTGCCTGGAGTCAACTGAATTGTCCTTGAGCGCTGCACTGAGCATTTGCCTTGCATTGGAAACAAACTGGCACCTGAATGACAGCGCGAGTGCAGAAAACGTCTTCCATAAAAATCCATTTTTACATGCTCGCGTGGCAAAGCCGGAGGGGGTCATCTGGGGTTTGGTCCTGGTCCGATGTGTTAAGATGGCGAGGTGCGGGGTCACAAGTTGTCAGGCTGGGGCTTAAGAGCGAGTGTATTTACCCCAGATGTGAAGCATGAAGACGGAGGCAATGAAGAGCAGACTCATCACCAGCACTGGCACTGGGCCACTGACACAAGAAAACAAACAAGGCATCGGTAGTAAGATTTATACAGAGTCACTTACAATACGTTTTGTCCATCATAGTAAATGAATGCTGCACTGCTTACGCCAATATGGCTGTGAACAGAGAGGAAATGGTTTTTAAAAAAGTGACCAACTGCTGCTTAGAAAGACAGCCCGATTGGAATCCTTCTCATTGCTTTTCCTTTGACTTGAAAAGAGCCCAGTTTAAAGCAATCACAGTCGAAACGTGCTAAACGTTGACATGGCGCCCATTTATGCAAAAGCATGGATTGGAAACGTTCAATCTGAAGTACGTGTGTACTTCCAAGCAGAAAATATTTGTGTCAAGCTCACCTTGCCTCACCTGTACAATTCTATTTGAGAACTGAATCTAAAAGAACCAGACAGGGTGCGGTCAAAAAGTCGTAACTCATATTGACTGACTCGATAGTACACCGTAAATCATCATCACAAGTTAACATAAAGTGCTACCTCTGAAGTCAAAGCCCCCAAATGGACTTTGGATTTTACTCGGGCTGGGTTTGAGGGGTGGGGGTCTCAAAAGTGTGCACTTGTTAAAGAGGACAGATATGATGATAACCATAGAACCAGAAATTAAAAAAAGTACATACAAAAAGTAACATTTCCATACAGATACTAACATACCGTATTTTCCTTGACCAATAGCCGCACTTAAGTTGGGGCGTCTAAAAATGCGGGTTGCCTTGTGTCCAAAATCTGTGAATGCTGTTGTGTGACGGACTGATGTTGTGCCGACACGCTACTTATATAGAAGAAAGGTGGACGTAACTGAGGAGAGCATACGGACGTTAAAATGGGAAGCGTGTGCATCAAAGAGGACGCTAAAGGCATACCCCTAGTACGTGTACATAATACATGCATTGTGCAAAACAACATCCCGAAAATGGTACCTAGGAAGAGACATGCTTACGAAGCGGAGTTCAAACTGCTAGCTACCAGTTCCGCGGAGGACCATGGGAATCAAGCAGCTGCGAGAGAATTCGAGATCAACTAATTCATGGCGCTGAGGGCTTTTGTTTAATGAAACGGCGCCATCTATCGGACAAGGATGACCGGAGTGAAGCAACATCCGGCAGATTACAACGAAAAGCTGGCCATCTTCCGCTCCTACTACAGTTAAAAGTGTAATGTTCTGCGTTACGTTAAAGACGCTTTCTTGGAAATTGTAATCCTTTATTCTGTCGCTCTGTCAGCCTCACTTGGCTTCCATTACCGACTGTTCTCTCAACCAATCCCCATATTCCTACATACATGCTTGTAATTGGAACAACCAGCATCACAGAATCCAGTGCGTTCAATTTTGGAGGTTTGCCTGTATTTCATTGAATGAGCCATTGAGGTACGAGCCCATATGGAATCATTTTCTAACGATTGATTATACCGATATAGTATGTCAGGTAGACACTTTTCTGAATCACTCATCTCCTGCCTAGCTGATCACTGAACGTAAACTCGGCAACCAAACACAAGTGTCAGCCCTGAAAGTGCATGTTGAGCGCTTCTTTGGAAACTGGCAAACATGCAAATAAATGTGCTCACTGACAACTTTGAAATGGTTCCTCATTAGGTTTCAAGTGCGCCGCACAGTCTTTGGGCCGTGCTGGCTCATTTTATTGATGAGCCCCTGACACCAGGAAGGGGCTCTCAACTCTGAAGGAGGGACCGGGCGGGGGATTGGGG